TCCTCTCCCCATTTATCCTCTCTCCAATTTGACTGCAATGCCTTGTTGCTAGCAGGAGATAAGCAGGGGACATCCCTAGTGGGTTCTGCAGCATTCCTGGTCCCAATGAAACATGCTGCAGGGCTGTGCACCCCTTCAGCCTAGTTTGCCAGGGAAACATAGATCAGCTCTCTTGGCTCTTTGTGACTGTACAGGAATGATAGAGGTTGCATCTGCAACTGCAGCAGAGCAGTTTCGTGCTCTTGACTTGCAGTGAGGAAAGGCTGGAAATCATGCAATAGTAATAGCCACTAGTTTCTCTACATGAGTTCTACACTTCTCTACATATAGCTTTCTCTCACATAGCTTGAAGCTTGTGATGCAATGAGGTTGAAATCCTTTACCGAGGCATTTCACAGAGCACACCCAGGTGAAATGACCTCTGTGAGGTGACACTACACCATGATGGAGTTTGCAGTGGACAGCCCCTGTAAGACATTTAGTTAGTGGAAGCATTTTAAATTAAACAAAACAAAATATCTTACAATTTTTAAACATATTTTCCATCTTTATTTGTTAAGATTTTGCTTCCAGAATGTTTTGCTAGGTTGGTCAGAGACTTGAATTTAAAAACTAAGAAATTTTGTTAAATTCTAAAGAATTTGTTTTTTGCTTACTTTTAGGGTGGAAGACCAGGGTGTTATTTCCATATTTTGAAGACACTAGTAAAACAAGAGAGAATGGAGTGTGTGGGGAGGAGCAAGGAGATTCTAGGAGAGTAGGTAAGAGCAGATTTAATATACTTTGTTCAGTAGCTAAAAATAGAAAAAAATAAAAAAAATCCCTTTTATTTCTTCAAACTTATACGTTCAAAAGCTGTTCTTTTCACAGCGATTTTTAAAAAAGCAAGAGCTGCTAAATCCTAATAATGTGTGAATTGCATCCCATTTCCATGCAAAACAGATTTTTATTTTTATTTCTTTGGAAAAGAGTGTAGGAAACAATCTGTAGACCCTGTTCAGTGCTGGAGAAGATCCTGAAAGCACTCTGAGCTATGTGTAGCCTGAACTTTAAATAAGACAGTTTGGTGAAAATCAGGTTCTTGTCCTTGCCATGAAACTGGACTGGATTAGGAAAAGTTCTGTTTTAAATCAATTGTGTTTGGCTTTGGTCAATCCAGCCAGGTTGGTTTTTTTGCCATTACTCTGCATTCTATAAGAACTCTTCTGCATGATGCCAGGAATCTCGTCCTTAGGAAGCCTTTGGCTTCCCATCCTCCTGACTCTTGAGAGACTGATTTAGTCTAAGAAACCAGAGTTTGTCCTGAAAACTTCATAAGGAAGGCACATCCATACACATTACAGTCAGGATTAGCACCTCAGCCATTGCAAATGCATCAATGTATTTTTGAGGTGACAAGTTACTGGTTGGATCCTGGCAGTGGCTGACAGGAAAACACTGGGCATGGAGGGAAAACTGGCTTCACATTTGCATTTTAGATTGTTTAAGGGGAGATACTTCTGGCTCTTAAAATTACAACATGCCAACATGTTGTGTTGTGCTGTACTAACACTACTCTGGCATCCTCAGTATTGTCAAGCATCCATGCCTACAGCATGATTGAACCATATTATTTTCTTCTAAGTCAAAATTCTGAGGTTTGATTAATCTTTCTTTACCTTCCTTTCCAGAGTCTGGCTATATTAAAATAGTTCAGGAATGAATAGGTCATCTAAATTTTTAGATACCTGAGCTCATCACCCATGCTCATTTTTGGACTTCCTCAAACACCATGCCTCACATTACTCACCGCTAAAAGTTTCTGACAGTGTCACCATACAAAACTTCCAGGAGAGACTACTCCATCTGCAGTTTTAATTGCAGCTCTCTGCCTCACTGCACAAAAGCTCTTCCTGTCCTTCTCTTGCCTATACACAGACAACTTGCTGGGGGTATGGAGTTGCCTGCAACACCAGGATTCTGCTTGGGCATCTTGGAACTCACAGTTGTGAGCTGCAGAGACCCTCATCCCAGTGACACATCACTCCAGGACAGTTGTCTTAATCCTGCCCGGACTCATTAACCCAGTAAGTGGTGGCTGTATGATGGGGACTGTTGTCCAAGCCCTTCACACCCACTCAGTGTGGCTGATGGAGAGATACGTTGTCACTCATGACTTTCAGTGGTGAAAGTGAGAAGCTGAACACCCAAATGCATGTCCTCACCCTTCAGTGGAGCAGCAGATGCTGTCACCAGTACACTTTCTTCATTCCCTATTTCTCCTTGCATGGGTTTTCGTGGGCACAACCCCAAGGCAGTGTGGGCTGGTGGGAAAACCAGTCTGTGCAAGAGGACAAGCAAAGGCTTGGAAATTTCCCCTCAATCCCTTACAGCACTTTGCACCTAGAAAATGCAGATGTTGTAACTATAAGTTATATGTCTGAAGTTGAACAAGAAAGCAGTGGCAGAGTTCAACCTACACCTCTGAGTCTGGATTTCTAAGTGCACAAGATCATTCTTTCTTTATAGAAAAGAAACTTTTAATCAAACTTGGAGTAATTGAAGTTATTTCTTCTCCCCTTTTCCTTTTTTTTTTTTTTTTCTATTTGCCACTTGCTATCAAGACATGGAGTTGAAACACACACAGCAGGAGATAGCACTGTTTAAGAAATAAAAAGCTAGAGTACAGGGCTTTGTTTTAAACCTTCCCAAGACAGAGGGCTTATCAATAGGTAAGCCATAAATTATTAATAAATACGGTCTATGAAGTTTTTCCATGTTCACTTGGTTTCATTCTGCAGCCATGGGAAGGTTGCACTGAGAAACCCTCTGACTAGAGGGTCTCCATGTAGTCATGACAGCTTCATGACACCTCCTCTCAACAGACCACCAGATGCTGGGAGTGGTAGGGGCCCTCGAGAGACTCCACAGACCAGAAATCTGGCCAAATTATGTTTGCTGTCCACAAACAGTTCCTTGTAGGTGATTTGGCTGGAATGATGGATTAGAAGCAATTGTTTTCCTGAGACCTGTTGTTCTGCCAGCCCCACTACCATGCTGAAACAGCCTCATGCTAGCCTGAGGTTTATTCAACACCTTGCAGTAACTTGGCAGCTACTAATGTCTTTGACAGTAAGTTAAGAAGTGAACCACAGAGCATCCCATGCCAAAGCCTTCAGATGAGCAGCCCTGAAGATGGTGTTTGCTGTGACTTTCCTTGAAGCAGGGAAAAAGAAGAAATTATGTATGCACTTCTCTTTTCTCCTTTTTTCCTTGACAGGTAGCTGGGTTATTTGAAGATTCCCAGGTGGAGGAAGCAGTCCTCTTGGGATTTCAGTGCTGGTTGCTAGCACTGCAGCTTGCTTACCCAGCTGCAGGATCTGAAAACTACAGACCTGTCAGCCTGGCCTCAGTGCCCGGCAAGGTTATGGAGCAGATCATCCTGAGTGTGATCACACAGCACCCACAGAAGAGCTGGGAGATCAGACCCAGCCAGCATGGGTTTAGGAGGGGCAGGTCCTGCCTGACCAACCTGATGTCCTTTTGTGACCAGCTGACCCACCTGGGTGCAGGGAAGGCTGTGGATGTCGTCTATCTGGATTTCAGCAAAGCCTTTGACACTGTGTCCCACAGCACACTCCTGGAGAAGCTGGCAGCCCATGGCTTGGACAGGAGCACTCTGTGCTGGGTTAGGAACTGGCTGGATGGCCAGGCCCACAGAGTGGTGGTGAATGGTGCTGCATCCAGCTGGTGGCCAGGCACCAGTGGTGTCCCTCAGGGGCCTCTGCTGGGCCCTGTTTAACACCTTCACTGATGATCCAGATGAGGGGATTGAGCCCACCATCAGCAAATTTGCTCCCTAGCTGGGAGTGTGTGTCAATATGCTGGAGGATAGGAGGGCTCTGCAGAGGAACCTGAATAGGCTGGATAGATGGGCTGGATAGATGGGCTGAGTCCAACAATACAAAGTTTAACAGGACCATGTACTAAGTCCCACACTTTGGTCACAACAACCCCCTGCAATGTTACAGGCTGGGGACAGAGTGGCTGGACAGTGCCCAGGCAGAAAGGGACCTGGGGGTACTGGTGACAGCCAGCTGGACATGAGCCAGCAGTGTGCTCACATGGCCAGGTAAGCCAATGGCTCCTGGCCTGGATCAGGAGCAGTGTGGCCAGCAGGAGCAGGGAGGTCATTCTTCCCTGTACTCAGCACTGGTGAGGCCACACCTGAGTGCTGTGTGCTGTGCTGAGCTCCCAGTTCAGGAGGGATGGTGAGGTGCTGGAGCGTGTCCAGAGAAGGGCAGCAAGGCTGGTGAAGAGTCTGGGACACGAGTCCTATGAGGAGCAGCTGAGGGAGCTGGGGGTGTTTAGCCTGAAGAAAAGGAGGCTCAGGGAGACCTTATCACTCTCTGTAACTCCCTGAAAGGAGGCTGTAGACAGGTGGGGATCAGCCTCTTCTCCCAGGAAACCAGTGACAGGATGAGAGAACAGAGTCCCTTAAGCTGTGCCAGACCAGGTTTAGGCTGGACATTTATTGGACATAAGAAAAAAATTCTATGTAGAAAGAGTGGTTGGGCATTGGAATGGGCAGCCCAGGGAGTCACTCTCCCTGGAGGTGTTCAAAAAAAGACTGGACATGGCACTCTGTGACATGGTTTAGTTGATATGAAGTTGTTAGGTCAGAAGTTGGAGCTGATGATCTCTGAGGTCTTTTCCAAACTAGTTGATTCTGTGATTGTGTGATTGTGTGATCATAAAATACAGGATGATGAATTGTTTCTCTTCTATTATGTGGATGTTCTGAGACACAGAAAGCCATCCTTCAGTGAAATCACTCATCTGAAGATGAGTGCCAGAATGGTCTGCTCTAAAATGAACTCTTGGTGGCCACATCAGGTTAAACCTGATACTCTTTTCAGAAATGAACAACCTCTTCTATGCAACACAGTAAACATTAACAGGAATTTCTCAGCCACACCATTCCCTGAGTATTATTGTTTAAAGAGCAGAGCTGGCCCAGGAGGAAAATTGGCCCCAGCACAGGCTATAAAGTGCATCTTCACAACAGGTCATTTTTGACTCTTTAATACAGTGATTAGGCTAAGCAAATTCCATGGGATAACTGTTGATTTGTTTTGTTTAATTGCACATTCTGATGTATGTTTTCAGTGTCCACAGCTGCTGGAGGTGGTTGCTGGCCTGAATACCGACCAAGGCAGTTATGGCTGTGGAGTCCTGATTTGTTCTTCTGAGAGTAAGTTCAACCTAGCCCATATCAGCAAAAAAACAACCATTAGACACCTCCCCCTCCCAGAATAGTTGGATTCACTTTGAAGTCATTACAATTGCAAAGTTTTAGTCTATCTCCTTTTGAATTTCCACTACCCTGTAGATGCTAAGGTTTCCATCACACTGGGGACATCTAGAAATTAATTGCTTTAATGTGCAAGCAGAGATTGGAGCTCAGACTCAGATTAGAGAATCAGACTGCTAGCTCATCACAGCCAAGGCTTCTCTGTAAGCCTGTAGCTTTCTTAGGGGTCTGCATGACTCCACAGTCTGATGGACTGCACACCTGCTCCAGCACCTTTGTTAGAGGGCTCTGACCTTCCTCCACTAAAACACAGTGCAGTTTTTATGCCTGTATAGAGACTACACTTATAGCCAGATTCATTTAGCCTTGTCTTCTTCTCTCTGCTTGTGGAGTGTATGCTTATAGGTGCATACACAGGTGTGTGTGTGTACATTTAGACTGGCTGGGACTGTCTAGACCCAGGACTGGGCAGCTCTTCCCTGTCTGCTTTTTACCTAATAAGTGATACAATAAAAAGTCATGATGTATTTGGACAATTTGGACTCCCAGCAGTCAAATTTGTCTCTCTTCTGGATCTGAAAATCAGATGAGAGACAAAATGGCAAATGTGAACTCTCCCTTAGGCAGCCCATCAGGATCAGGAATGTGTGTATGTCACGGGGAAATACCAAAGCACAACACTTTAAGCCAAGGGTTACACCTCTGTCTTGCACAGAATATCATGGAGACATTACATTTCCTTTTTTCCTTAATTCTAAAAATAAGCAAGGAAACTTAGACACAGTTTCTGTGCCCCATCTTGGCCCCTTTCTGTTATGCCTGAGGGTTTGTCTGCACCTGGTTATTCATTGAAATGTCTGGATAATGACACTGGCTTTCTATCTATCTATCTATCTATCTATCTATCTATCTATCTATCTATCTATCTATCTATCTATCTATCTCTCTATCTCTCTATCTATCTATCTATCTATCTATCTATCTATCTATCTATCTATCTATCTATCTACTGTCTATCTGCCTATCTATCTGAAAGGAATCAGCATTACATGGCTTTTGCCTGGATACATAAGCAGATCAAAAGGGCCAGTTATCCATACCACTTGCCTAAAAATTTCTTCTCTTTTTCACTCATATTGTGAGTGCCCTCCTGCAATGGAAAGCTCCAGACAGAACCATTTTTTCTAGCACTCCAGAAGTTCTCATTTCTGTGCAACAGTAGATAAACTCTAGTAAATATATTAGATTATTTTGAGATAATAAATATGAGATAACTTTCCTTTTGTGATTATTTTGAGATTACTGCATAGTATTTTAGTATTTTCCCTCCAGTACATCTCAGTTTTTGCTTAATCACCTCATTACTATAACCTTCTTTTTACAGGCAGGCATAAACTAGCAAGCTGTGGGAAAATATGTCCAGTTTCAAGCTGTCTGCAATCAGCATCTCATCTTGAGAGAAAATCCAGGGTTTGGAAGACAAATAATTACCTGTGATTCATCTTTGTGATTTCAATAGGCCAAAATTACACCCAAGGATGAAAACCCTGTTAAGAACTAGGGTGCTTGAGACTAGGATCTATATTTTGCACTGTGAGTTCCACTTTGACATTTAAAATATTTTTACATTGGCTTATCTGAGTGAGATAGTAAGTCCCTCAGAGAAGTAAAATGATAATTTGGTTTAACTTTTTACAAGAGGAGTTGCTCATGTGTTTTCTCTGTTTCCTTGGATACTAGAGATTTCAAGTCAGAGTTCAACCACACAGACATTTTCTATTCCTTTACTGCACCTGGAATATGCATGAAAAACCCCCATAAATTGTTAAGACATGAACAAGATTTCAGGAGTAACCTCAAGCAGGAACATCCTGATCAGGGTCAGGTAGAAGTGGACAGGGAAAGCAGAAATTTTGTCATCTACATGGGCTTCTTAATGCTGCTCTTGATTAAAGTTGTTCTTGCTTTTTTTGCTGCTTTTCTAAGAAGTCAGGACTTGCATGGGAATATTCTCTTCCCATTTTGAGGCGGAAGTTGCTTTTGCTTTTGGCATTCAGCTAATTAAGCTCAAAAGATAATGAATTAGACTATGTGCATAGTTTGAACTGAAAGCAAATCCAATGCATTTTAAATCCAGTTTTCATAAGCAATTGCACAATCTTAAGCTTGTGACACTGATCAGAACCTCCACCCTCCAAGCTAAACTTATGTGTGCAGATGGATTTACTAATCTTACTAACCATTTCACAGATAAATTCAAATTCTTTCCATTCACTTACGAATATTTGCCTAGCATTTTTAAGTATTTTTCAAGTCATAAATATTTTCACAAAAAAGGACAGATTACTGACTAGCTTGATATTATTAACAGAAAAGTTGGTTTAAATAGCCCTATAAAATATGACCAGACAACTTTTAATGAGACTTCTTTAGTCCAGATAAAAGGGTGGGGAAGACCTAGAAGAACTTGGTAAGTTTTAGGTGGTGGATTTTTGGGTTTTTTTTTTTGTTTAGTAAACCTATATGGACTTTTCCTATCAATGTATTGAGATATTTTGAAAATCCAAACTTTTATCATTTACATGAAAAAGCCCTTTTTATCATTTACAATGTTTTGGAACAATGATTGATCCAAGTTAAGTGATTTTTGTGAAGACCCACCTCTTGTTCTTGTCTGGAACCTTCTAGGTTTATTTCAGGTAGTGTTGAGTTATTGTGTTGGAAGAGCTTATGGAAATAGCCACCTCCTTCAAATCACTCACTATTCTACAGTAAATAAAGCTGGGGTTTTTCTAAGTTTTTTAATTTTTTTTTATAGTGAGTATAGTTGAGTTCTGCCCCTTCCCAGTCTGAAGAGTCTTAAATTATTCATATTTTTATCATAGGAAACTTGTTCTCTATCTTCATAAATCTTGCACTTTTTTTCCTGGAACTTCTCAATTCTTGGACTTTTTCTGAGCTGTTTCAAACAAAATAGAGTGTCCAAGATGAAGCTATATCATAGCTAAACATACAGTGACACAATGGCATTCACTGCTTAGTCCTTTACCATTTTATGGACAACTTGCCTCTTCCTTCCATTTTCTGAACTGTGTTGAGAATCAAAATTCCTTGCAGCATTGAGCAACCTGGCAGATTTGGAGCCACTTTGCAGTGGCAACATCTGCCTAACAGAGAAAAAGAATCAGCATGAACCAAGTCAGTGGGCACTGGCCAAACTTCCTGCCTGGATTCCCAGACATGTCCTTGCCCATGGTGTAGGAAGGTGAGCTGGGAGGGATCTACCATCCAGTAGGGCAGGTCCTTTGTTTCCAAAAGGCATCAAGGGATACTAACACCCCAAGGCTTGTGGAGTATTAATATTCTAGAACTTCATTAGAAATCACTTTTTAACTGGTCTTTCAAAATGTATTTTTATTGACTATATCACAGTAAAAGACTTAACAAGGATGATGGTCCCTGCTGCAAAAGAAGACTGCAAACTTGTGGTTGGAGAGGGCTCCTGCATTGTGAAGCCTCCAAAGGCAGGATCATTAACTCCAATTCCCTCCCAGGAGGGTGGCCTAGTCCATGACTAATACTCAGTTAAGTGGCACAGCTAGAGTTCTTGGCAAAGCAACATATGGTGTTTTTGAGCATTGTAGATGTTTCATTGCATATGTTTCCCACTCTGTTACCTCACGACACTTCAGGGCACTGCTTGTCTCTGTTTATTATTGCTGTGTTAGTCCTCTAGACCTTTGTTTTCAAATGTTAATTATTCAGAATATCGACAGCAGAAATTCATAATACAAAGATAGATATACCTGTAAATACACATTTTTGGGTGTTTCTTGTAATGGAGACTCCAAATCATGGAAAATCTTTTTGATGACAGGCCCTGTCTCTGCTTTCCATCGTATTGCGCACTCACAAGCTGGGGACTCTTTGTACAAAGCACCAAGGCCTTGGGTTTATGCCAGCTAGAAACTCAATACACTGTTTGACTGTTTGCCTGTGTTCTTTGGAACAACAGCATTTTCATTTACACAAGTAGCCTTTACATAAATAAGCTTGGTTTAGAGGCAGGCGGAAAGATACAGAGGCACACAGAGCAATCAAGCCCAGCCACACCGACCGGGACATAGAGTTAGTACACTGTGTTTTTTTCAGGGAACGCTCCGGAAAAGCTGTCATGATGTTTTCTGCAGAATCTGAAGAGAAAGTCCCAGAACAATCCCTCTGAGTCACCAGTTTCCATTTGCACAAACCTGGTCGTAAATGACAGAGAGGCAAATAATGATTAATCCAGAAAACAGACAAAACCTATCAGATTAAATTAAACAATGGTCAAAGTCAGAGGGAAAATGCCTCCCTCCAGTCCACTAAAAAGGAGAAGAGAAAGTGGATTACTTGCAGCTAAAGCTCTTTGTTTCGACTTACTTTCTTACAAAGGCTCATTGCAACCAGCTCAATTAAAAGTACTAGGACAGATATATCAGGTTAAAGGTGAAATTTCCTGCCTTGTTTTATCTGAAAATCTCATCTGAAATCATATCTAATTAGCATAATTATAGCTCTAAGATCTATGAATTGTACAGGTAGAGAATATGGGTTGCATGTTGGCTACATGAGCTAACAGATGTGTATTGTAGGGAGCTGAGCACTGGAAGAGGCTGCCCAGAAAAGCTGTGAGTACCTCATGCCTGGAATTGTTCAAAGACAGGATGGATGGAACTTGGAATAGCCTGGCCTAGTGGAAAGTGTCCCTGCCCATCACGGCTAGGTTGAAGAAAATTATCTTTAAGGACTCTTCCAACCCAAACCATTCTGTGCTACTAAGATGACTTGTTCAGACATTCACAGGACTGATGCTAGAGTGAAATTGATTGCTTCAGAGAGGGTCTGCAGGGGGAAAACTGCACTAGCCTGCACTGCTGAGAACAGAGCAGCTTTCTTCACCAAAGAGGGCAGGTGTTTGTAACACTGGTTCTCTTCCCAAAACTGTGTCCCATTTATTTCTTGAGTATACACTGATGAACAAGGAAGGGGGATTTTTTTTGCTAGGGACTTCTTGAATTTCTAAACTTTCCACCCTCGTTACATTTAAGAGAGCAGCTTGTCGTATAAACCAAACAGGAATCTGCAACAGCAGCACCAATGTTAAGAGGCATCCTGTCCTGGGAAGAAATGAGGACCTTTGATTTCTCGCAGTAGGCCAAACCACTGAAATAGATTGACAAAAGTGCCAATAAGAAATCTGGCATGAAAAATGTAAATATATGTAGGGCACCACTCTGCACTGTAGCTGCTCCACCCTGGCTCAGCAGTGGCACCCACAGCAGCAGTGTGGCACCCCCAGAACAGAGAGCTCATCACTGCCTTTGCCTCATCATTCTTGCTCCCTGCAGCAACAGAAGCCTTCTAGCCAGAAGCCTTCAAGCTGCTGAAATGATCCCCAGATGGTCCTGCTACCATCCATAATGGACAGAGACTGTCAGTCTGTTCTACACTGTGAATGGGGTGAGATCTACCCCAAAAATGAGCAGAAAGCAAAACTGGCCCAGCATAATTTTGATTCCTGGGTTTTGCAACATGTATCCTGGATAGGAAACCTTAAGACTTTTTTGGGAGAGCACAGAAAGCCCAGGAAGCCTCATGACCTTTAAGGAGTCAGGATGGTGACTGTCTTAAGTCCTAAGGCCAATGGCAGTGGCATAAGCTGGGGTTCTTGTCTAAGCTCTGTAAGGGACTGGCTGGACATGACTCCAAACCCAGAGAAACCCAGGTGCTTTTCAACCCCTCTTCTGATGACTTTTAAATCCCTCAGGATAAAATACAGCAAGCAAACACTCACATGTGAGGTAAACTTAAAAAAAAAATAAAATTTAAAGCTGCACATTGCACTGGATCATTCATCCACATATTGACATCTGTGAATGAGAAAACAGCTGAAGAGTAAATCATAGCCATCTAAATCAAATGGCACCAAATTGAGTAAAATAGCACTATTTCAGGTTCAAAATCAAATTTACCTGTAACTTTTGATTGTTCAAGAAGACCTGTATAGGCCTATTCAATCCACACTTCTGATTTCCTTTCCAACACACACTTTGTTTTGAATTTTGAAGTATAAAAAACACATAATCTAGAGTGCTTAGTCACTGCAGTATGTGTTTCTGGAATTCATTTTTCTTTATTTATGTCTATGTTCACAATGATTTGTGAACTTAAAAAATACCATATCTCTTGAGTTTGATATGGATTCTGTAAGGTCACAAGACCTTAGACACAAGAAATAAAATGTAGATAATTTATTTTGCTTTAAGCTGGTATCCAGTAATTTACTCATGTTCCCTGATAATTGGCTGCGGTTCATTTTCTGCTTGGGCAACACTTTATGTCAGCCACTTGTTTCACTCACTAGATAAGCTTGGTAAATTATGTGATATGATCAGAGCAAGGCAAATTCAGCAATGATGTTTGTGGGTGAACATTCTAACTGATGTTAAAACTGATGTTTTTGTACTGATGCTAAGCTCATTTTCTGCAAAGCTGGGCATTGTAGTCTACTGGTATTTCATTCTCTCACCTGAAAAATTGCAGGACTTTCTTCTGTCCTGCCTTTTATGTGCATAAAAAGGGAATGTATATAATCACATATAATATAATATTTGATGTGAGAAAAATCAGGAATCAAGTCAAGAACATCATCA